GCCGCGCTTCCTCCGCCGCCCGCCTCCCATTCTGAAGAATGCGGGGTCTGTTGTGCACCCGGAACCGTCCAAACTTGTCTTCCCGGCAGGAAATTGAACCAGTCAAACGAGAGGCAAGTGCAAACTCCTTGGAAAACTAGAAGGATTGGTGGCCACTGCGCAGGCGTCGGACTCAGCGAAGGCCGAAACTAGAGTGGCCAAGGCGAGAAAGCCTGGCAGCCAGACGCCGGGCGCCGCCGCCCATCCCTGGGCCTCGTTGGTGAAACTCTGGCCAGTTAATACACGGAAAGCGCGTGGAAATACACTCGCCACAGAGTAAGTGGCAAGCAGTTGCTGCTGTTGTTGTTTTCATTATTATTAGGTATTTCTGCCTTACTGCCCCCTGGCACACCCGCCCGTCCATCCTTCAAGATCCGCCCCTCCTCCTCTGCCAAGTAGCTCAGCCGTGATTGGAGATAATGGGGAGACGGTTAAAGAAAACGGTTATCCTAACTGTTAAGGAAAAAATTATTCATTCATGACACTTGTTAAAGTACCGTAAGGAAGACTTTATTTAAGGGCGGCTATGGGGATAGGTGTAGGGACCACTGCGGTGGGGTCTTGCAGTGGGGGGAGAGAGATTGGACTCAATTCGGAATACAACAAAGAAAAGTGAAATTTTACAGCTGAGGATCCAGATTGGGGGGGTCAGTGAATGGAAAATTAGTAAGAGAAAACATCATCAAGGGTAAGGGGGGGGGAATCCTATCTCAAACGGCCTGACAGGATTCTTGGGGATGGTGGAGGGTGAGGAACCCCATTAGATATCCAGGTTGATCAGAGATCAAGGATGGGAGATTCTGGCTAACCTTATTCGGCAGGAATCTTGCTAAAACTGAACGATGCAGAGACAAACATGGAAGTCCAAAAGTCAGGCCTAGTAGAAAAAGAATTTAGGGGAACAGTTAACATAAGAGTGCAGAGACCGCTAGTCTGCTTCAGCAACCAGTGGGAAGGCCCAACTCCTCTGCTCCAGACTCTCACTCATTCATTCATTCACTGAGTACTGAGGCTCCACTGAAAATACAGCAATGAACAAACAGACGCTCCCTCTCCCCGCCCCGCCCCCTCCCCACCCCCCCGGGAAAACTGACTGCTAGTGAGGGAAACAATCTGCACAAACAATATACAGGCTGTAGGAACAAAAGCAGGGCAGTGAGATAGCAAGTTGTATTTTTAGACTGGGGTGGTCAAGTAAGGCCTGCTGAGGTGACATTTGCTAAAATAATTTTTAAAAAGTAAAACACATGACTCATGCAAGTATTTGATGCATACGTGTCAAGATTTTATTCAGTTCATTAATGAGGGGCACTAAATGATAAAACCAATTCAAAGGAGATTTTGAAGAGTTTTTTTTTTAAATAATCAACGGAATGTTGAAAAAAGATTGCTAACAGATGGAAGGGAGGTTAATATCCTAAGGATAGGTAATAAACTATGGTGCTTAAAGTTATGATTTCTACTTTGGGGTATATATATTTTTTTTACCAGAAAGAAATCAGGGGCATCTCTTGACAAATTTTATTTGTATTGCTATAAACAGGAATCTCTGGCCTTGCTCTCAAACAGAAACCTTTTGCATTGCTATCACTTTTCTACAAGTTAACCTCTGTACCTGCAAAATTATAAAATAGCCAAGTCAATCAAAGGTGCCCATGAAATCCCCAAAAGGTCTGCTAGACAAGGCTAAGCACTCCACTGTTAGGACACCTAGCATGCAAGAGGACAAGAGCTGGACAGTAGTTAAGTGGTAAAAACAGATTTTATTCAGGAACTATTGCAGTAGGGGATATGAAACCTCATATAGAACTGGGCTCAGTTCTAAATATAGCAAGGACAAGCAAGGATTTATAGTCAAGGAGCAGGATAAGGATCAGTGGATGGAAAATGAGAAGAGACAAGAGTAGAGAGATTCTTGCTAATAGGATTTCTGCTAAAGGCAGGCCAGTCATGAGATATTACCTGGGCATGGTGGGGGATGAGGAATTTGATTAGATATGGAGAGTGATTAGATATCAAGGGGGGAGGGATTCTGGATACTGACCTGTCAGGATTATTAACATTAGGATTATTAAAATTAGACTATCAGTTTATTATTATTATTATTATTATTATTATTAGGATTATTAAAATTAGACTCCAAGGCTGTAGGCAACTAAGGTTCTGTGGCCCCAGGAAACTGTTCCCCACCCAGTCTGTACAACCAGGACAGCTCTGATTCTTTCACCAGTCCCAGAGTAAAACTACTACCCACTTCTGTAGAGGAGAGCACAGTGAAGAAGGAAGATACAGTCCAGGGCAAGAAACAGAAAACCAGAACCATATTCTCTTGGACCCAGCTATATGTACTCAATGACAGATTTCAGAGACAGAAATACCTCAGTTTCCAGCAGATGTGAGAACTTTCTAACTTTCTGAACCTTAGCTATAAGCAGGTTAAGACCTGGTTCCAGAACCAGAGAATGAAATATAAGAGGTAGCAGGAAAACAACTGGCCAAAGAATAGCAACAGTGTCACTCAGAATAGCTCAGCAACTACAGAATATCCAGGCTTCTATTCTTATCACCAGGGATTCCTGATGAACACTTCTGGAAACCTTCCAATATGGAGCAGCCAGACCTGGAATAACCCAAAGTGGAGCAACTAGACCTGGAAAAGCCAGTCTTGGAGCAACCAGACCTGAACAGTCAGCTCCACAGCTGTGGAGAGGAATCCCTGCAGCCCCAGATCCAGTTCCAGCAAAATTCTGTCAACGATTTGATCTTCGAAACTGCCGGGGAAAGCCATAGTGTAAAAAAGCAAACTGCCCAGTATTTTAGTACCCAGCAAATGATGGTTTTTTTTCCCAAGGTACTCTGTGAACATACAGCCTGAAGATGTGTGGCAATGAGCATATTATTCAATCTCAATTTGGGCGGTGGCTGTATTACTTCTCCTAGGATTTGTCTTTTAGGGTCCTGTATCTCTGCCTTGTTACTGTTTCTCTTTATGCTTATATCAGGTGAGGGGATTTGATTGGAGTCTAATCAAAGAGGTTTCGGTAGCACTGACTGCTATGGACAACATGATAAAAGATGTTTCTTGCTAGAGATAACTAGATATAATACTAGCTTGAATATTTTTAGGTTCTAGAATCTAACCTCAAGAATAGGAAGTGATGGATCACTAAATTCCACTCCTGAAACCAATACTACACTATATGTTAACTAACTTAAATTAAAAAAAATAAAATAGGAAGTAAAAACACAGAGATGTGTGATGAAGGATTACCTGTATTTTCTAAGATTGAGAGGCTTTACTTGTTGACAACCTCAGCTGTTATGAAGAGTTAAGCTATAATGTGCTTCTTTGATTTCCTCTGCCCCTTGTGCTGTTTTACTACAGTTCCTAATTTGTTCATTATTCTAGTATTTGTAGAAAGAGGTTTTGTATTTTTTTTTTAAGATTTTATTTATTTGTTTGAAAGAGAGAGAGAGTGTGAGAGAGAGCATGAGCAGGGGGTAGGGGCAGAGGGAGAGGCAGTCTCCCTGCCAAGCAGGGAGCAGGTAGCCTGATCCAGGGTCCGATCCCCGGACCCCATCCCTGGATCCTGGGATCATGACCTCAGCCGAAGGCAGATGCTTAACTGACTGAGCCACCCAGGTGCCCCGAGGTTTTGTATTTTAATGCACCGTGATAATAGTACCAGTTTGACTGGTAGGTTTATAGGTTTAAGTACAAATAAATACCCACTTTACCTTTGTTTCTTTTTTTTTTTTTTTAATTTAAATTCAATTAGCCAACGTATAGTACATCATTAGTTTTTGGTGTAGGGTTCAATGATTCATTAGTTGCGTATAACACCCAGTGCTCATCACATCACGTGCCCTCCTTAATGCCCATCATCCAGTTACCCCATCCCTCCACCCACCTCCCTTTCCTCAACCCTCTGTTTGTTTCCTATAGTTAAGAGTCTCTTATGGTTTGTTTCCCTCTCTGATTTCTTCCCCTTCAGTCTTCCCTTCCTTCCCCTGTGGTCCTCCACGCTATTCCTTATGTTCCACATAGGAGTGAAACCATATGATAATTGTCTTTCTCTGACTTATTTCACTTAGCATAATCTCCTCCAGTCCCATCCATGTTGATGTAAAAGTTGGGTATTCATCCTTTCTGATGGCTGAGTAATATTCCATTGTATATATGGACCGCATCTTCTTTATCCATTCATCTGTTGAAGGGCATCTCGGCTCCTTCCACAGTTTGGCTATTGTGGACATTGCTGCTATGAACATCGGGGTGTACGTAGCCCTTCGGATCCCTACATCTGTATCTTTGGGGTAAACACCACTTTACCTTTAAAAAAAAGTTAGACTCTGCAAGGATGGACATGGAAGCCCAAGGTCGAGGCCTAGTTGAAAAAAGGGCTCAAAGTGTTATTGAATCAAAATGGGGCTGCTCCTCGTGAGTTACAGACAGAGATTTTACCAGGTGGAGTTGCTGTACAAATAAACCATCTTTATTTGTACAAATAAGGAGATCACAGGGAATAATTTCCAAAGCTGTGTCTCCCCAAAGGAAGAAACACAGGCTCCTTTAGGGCATGGGTGAATATTCAGAAGGGGATTTTAACATTATAATGAGGCGGAAGTCACTGTTGGTCACTCCTGGCACTTTCTGATTCATCTGGGCAGACTCTCCCTCAAATGTTTCTTTTTCTGGTCCAGTAGTTTGTTAGCTTGTTTCTAAAAGGTAAGACTGATAGCTAGACAAAAGCTTCAAGGAGTTTAGTTTCTACAAGAAAGATTGACAGTTAAGCAGAAGCTTCTACTAGAAATGTGCTGAGTTCGGGGGTCAGGCCAGTGACAAGAGGAGCCTAAGTATAGTTGAGTCAGGGAGAGTGTTTGTCACTAGTTACCTATATTGTCTATTTACAACTTTTGGATAATTGTTTCTTATCATATTGAGCCCCTGACTGAAGGGAGGACATGAGCATCTGGAGACAAGGAATGGGGTTTTCTATAATGCTTATGATAATATCCAACTTCTCTGTTAGCCTACTTGGCCTTTATGACCTTTTGGCCAGCTTGACCCCACTTCATAGTCTCCCATGTGCCCCAGTGAGCTAGCTGCCTTTCCTCAACATGCTTAATCTGTCTTCACTCCCACTGCCATGCCCAGAGAAAGCCCTCCTCTACCTGAGCTGCTGGATGCAGCAGAGAAAAAAACAAAGTATCCGTTCTTAAGAAGCTTACATTCCAGTAGAGAAAGACCTAGAATAAACAAAATTATTATATGTTGGGAGTGATAAGTACTGTGACAAAAAATAAAGCAGAGAAAGAAAGGTAGAGAGAGATGCAGGTGATGAGGAAGGCCTCTCAGGATGTGCCTTTTGAGCAGAAATTTGCAGAGAGTCAGGGAGCAACCAGGTAAAATATCTGGGGCCAGAGGGCTTCAGGGAGAGGGAAGAGCAAATACAAAGGCCAAAGGAAAGTCAAAAAACAGTATGGCTGAAACTGAGTGAGAGGGACTAATGCCAGTGTGCAGAATGACCCCAGTGAAGAGGACGGTGTTGGGCTGAGGTGTGGTAAGATACGGCCTGCTATCCGAGGATGCCCTGGCTGTCCTATGGAGAGTCGACATTAGAGTGCAAGAGTGAAGCAGAGAGAACAGTTGAGAGGCCACAACAAGGCCCCTTGACTAAACTGGGTGGCAGCAAGCCAAGTAGTGAGAGCGAGTTGAATTCTGGATACATTTTGAAGGTGGAGCCAACAGGATTCATTGTTGTCAACAAACCTTGTAGAATTTCTTTAAAAAAAGATAGAAAGAAAGAAAAAAGGAAGAGGGATGCCTAGGTGGCTCAGTTGGTTATGTGTCTGCCTTCCGCTTAGGTCATGATCTCAGGGTCCTGGGTTTGAGTCCTGCATCGGGTTCCTTGCTCAGCAGGGAGCCTGCTTCTCCCTCTGCCTGTTGCTCTCCCTGCTTGTGCTCTCTCTCTCCTCGTCTCTCTCTCTGACAAATAAATAAAACCTTTAACAAAAAAAAAAAAAAAAGGGAAGAGACTTTTATTTGAGCCCAAGGACTTGAATTGTATCAGGATACATAATCTTCACAAAGAAGAGAGTGCTCCGGGCAGGGCTATATATGTTTTAACACAGAGTTACAAATCAGGAGCTTGGGAATATGGCAGAGTAGGAGGACCCTGAGCTCACCCCATCCCACGTTTACAACTAGAGATCTTCCACATCCAAGTCAATAAACCAGGAAGTGATCCAAAGACTGACCAAACAAACTCCACAACTAAATATGGAGAAGAAGCTGCATCTCATAGGTTAGGAAGGTCAGAAAGGTGGAGGGAGACTGTCCCCAGGAGGGCACACATGGAGAGGACAGAAAAATGGGCCTTCCCATCAGGGAGCTCACACGGGTAATACTAACCCCCATAAAACTTGGCTTTAAAAACCAGAGGGGCTGAAATCCATGAGTTTGTAAAAACAGTTGGGACTTGGAGGCTGGAGCTTTAAAAATCTGCTGACAGCGTCGGCCAGGAGTGTGAGTGATAGCTGGGTTGCACCCCTTAAAGAGATAGCAGTCCACATGGAAGGCAACTGTAAGAATGGCAGTTCACACAGTGCCAGGGGGCAAATGGGAGACAGACCTATTTGTAATGATTTTGGAGCATGTTGGGGGACTTCTCTGAAAACAAGGGAGCTGGCAGGTGTCGTTTTCCTCCCCCATCCCCCACCATAAACACAGGGACTCTGTGGAAGGATTTAACAGACCTATGTAGAACATTCCATCCTAAAAGAGCAAAAATGAACATTTAGGATGTCACCAAGATAAAAACCTTCTGCACAGCAAAGGAAATAGTCATCAAAACTAAGAGGCAACCCACGGAATGGGAGAAGATATTTGCAAATGACACTACAGATAAAGGGCTGGTATCCAAGATGTATAAAGAAATTATCAAACTCAACACCCAAAAAGCAAAGAAGCAAAGTGATCCAGTCAAGAAATGGGCAGAATACATGAACAGACACTTCTCCAAAGAAGACACCCAAACGTGGTGCTGGGAAAATTGGACAGCCACATGCAGAAGAATGAAACTGGATCACTTTCTTACACCATACACAAAAATAAGCTCAAAATGGATGGAAGACCTAAATGTGAGACAGGAAACCCTCAGAATCCTGGAGAACACTGGGAACACCTCTTTGACCTAAGCAGTAGCAACTTCTTAGTAGACACGTTTCCAGAGGCAAGGGAAACAACAGTAAAAATAAACTATTGGGGCTTTATCAAGATAAAAAGCTTCTGCACAGTGAAGGAAACAATCAACAAAACTAAAAGGCAGCCTGTGGAATGGGAGAAGATAATTGCAAATGATATATCAGATAAAGGGTTACTGTCCAAAATATATAAAGAACTTATTAAACTCAACACCCGAAAAACAAAGAATCCAGTTAAGTAATAGGCAGAAGACATGAATAGACATTTTTCTAAAGAAGACATCCAGATAACTAACAGACACATGAAAAGATGTTCAACATCATTCATCACCAGGGAAATACAAATCAAAATCATGATGAGATACCACCTCACACTGCTGTAATGGCAAAAATTAACAACACAAGAAACAAGAGATGTTGGTGAGGATGTGGAGAAAGGGGAACTTCTTTCACTGTTGGTGGGAATGCAAGCTGGTGCAGCCACTCTGGAAAACAGTATGGAAGTTCCTCAAATAGTAAAAATAGCAATACCCTACGATCCAGCAATTGCACTACTGGGTGTTTACTCAAAGGATACAAAAATACTGATTTGAAGGGGTTCATGCGCCCCGATGTTTATAGCAGCAATGTACACTGTAGTCAAATTATGGAAAGATACCAAATGTTCATGTGTTCATCTACTAATGAAGGGATAAAATGAATAAAGAAAATGTGATATATGTATCTATATATAGATATTACTCTGCCATCAAAAAGAATGAAATCTTGCCATTTGCGACAACACGATGGAGCTAGAGTATATTATGCTAAGTGAAATAAATCAGTCAGAGAAAGACAAATCTCATCACATCATTTCCCTCATATGTTGAATTTAAGAAACCTAACAGGTAGGGAGAAGAAAAAAAAAAAAGGAGTGAGGAAGAACAGATTCTTTTCTTTTAGAGGGAGCAAGAGAGAGCACAAGCAGGGTGAAGGGCAGAGGGAGAAGCACACTCCCCGCTGAGCAGGGAGCCTGATGTGGGACTCCACCCGGGGAGTCCGGGATCATGACCCCAGCCGAGGGCAGATGCCCAACCAACTGAGCCACCCAGGCGTCCAGACTCTTTTTCAAAAAAAATTTACTTATTTATTTGAGAGAGAGCAAGCACACATGAGCGGGGGGAGGGCAGAGGGAGAAGTAGACTCCCCACTGAGCAGTGAGCCCCAGGGTTTGGGGGGGCTCCATCCCAGGACCCCGTGATCATGACCGGAGCCTCCCAGGAGCCACAAAGCTAACTGCTAACTATAGAGAACGAACTGAGCGTTGCTGGAGGGTAGTTGGGTGTGGGGGATGGGTTAAGTAAGTGATGGGTATGAAGCAGGGCACAGGTTGTGATGAGCACTGGGTATTATATGTAAGTGAGAAATCACTAAATCCTACACCTGAAACCAGTATTACTCTGTATGTTCACTAACTGTAAGTTACATAAAAACCTGGAAGGAAAAAAAAAAATCCATGGGACAATTAGATCACTCGAGAAGAGATAAAAGAGAGTATTTGGTCTTGATTCCAATCCATGGGGACTCTATATTTTTGGGATACAGTGGTTGAGGTTCCAACAAAGGAAAGGAGGAGCGAATGAGGAAGAGGAGTATGGAGAGAAAGATCTACATTGTCAGATGTTGCTCTGAAGGCCAAGAGGTCGCAGCAAGGGACTTTGAGAAGCACCATTCCAGGGGCTTGATGGAGAGGAGAGCTCCTCTGGAGTCATTTGAAGAGAGCATGGGAAGTGAAGAAGAGTCCCCAGCAAATCTGGGCAACGTTTCAGAAGACTTTTGATGCCTCAGAGGGAAGTGTCCACAGCTGGATGGTTCTAGAGGCGTCTAGTTGGTTTTTGAGGTGGCTGATTCTGCACACGTGTTTGCACGTCGGTGGCAACTGAGAGGGAGAAATTGTTGGTGAAGTGCACACCAGGGCCCGTTGAAGCGACATCCCTGCGCAGGCTGGAGGGGCTGGGGTTGGCACACGGGGTAGGGTCTGGCTCCGTACATTGCCCCATCAAGCGCAGGGACTCGCGAACAGACGCCACCGCCCCCCAGCTTCCCCGCAGCTCCGCGACACGCGGGGGCGATTCCTGCGGGAACTACGCCTCCCGGCAGGCGGTGCGCTCGACGGCCAGTGCGCAGGCGCGCGCCGCCAGCCTCGGCCTGTCCCTTCCCAGCCGCCGGGGCCCCTGTTCCCGGCTGGAGCCACCGAGGCGGAGGGGGACGGGTTCCTCTTAAAAGAGAAACGGCCGCGGTGCGCGCGAGGTGGGCCCCCGTCCTCCCGCCGCTCTCCGGGCCTGCGCGCGAGGCGGGAGGAGGCGCAGGCGCAGTCGGGCTGAGGGCGGGTGGGGGCTCGCAGGTAAGGCCGGGTGGGGGTGGACCGCGGCGGGCGCTCCGGGTGGCCTGGGGGCTGCCCTTGGAATTGGCCTGACCTACGCATAGTGAGCGTTAAGTGGGGCGGCCCGAGACGGGGTGGGGGCGCCCTCCAGGCCCCGGTCCCACCCGCATTCACCCCGCTATGAAAAGCGCCCCCAGTAGACACCACCTCCCCTTCCCCCGTCAACCAGTAAAGGCACTAAAGGCCTCTGCTCTCTTCAAGTGAAACTGTTACCTACCCCTCGTCCAGCCCCAGTTGAAATTTCTCCGTGAAAGCTTCACGCCCCTTCCCCACAGCTCGCGTTTCTACACTTCAGTATGCTCGGGTCGGGCCACTGTTATGACTTTGACCCTGTCTCCCTGCCTCCCCCTCCACCGCGCTGCTGCCCTGTAACGTAAGCTGGGGTGGTTCGGGCCCAGTGGCCGCGGATGCTACTGAAATGACTTAGTCTTGCTCCCAGTTCACCGATGGCGGAAACTGAGGCCGCAGCGGCGGGTGGAGTCGGGGTCCCGGGCCCGAGACGAGGTCCGCCCAGACGCGTGTCTCCTCCACCCTGTAGGTCCTGGTGCCCATGGCTTCCTCCCCGGTGGACGCATCTCGCAGGCGGCAGGAGAAGCGGCGGCAGCTGGACGCGCGTCGCAGCAAGTGCCGCATCCGCCTGGGCGGCCACATGGAGCAGTGGTGCCTCCTCAAGGAGCGGCTGGGCTTCTCCCTGCACTCGCAGCTCGCTAAGTTCCTGTTGGACCGGTTAGGGGCCGGGGCGGGGCGCTGGGGGAGGGCACCCCCAGGTTGCAACACCCAGTCCCCTCCCTGGGTCAGGTGCGGGCCCCCTGACCCAGGGGTGTCTCATTTCAGCAGAACAGCCTGTGTGATTTGTGGCCTCTCTGGGTCCCTTGCCCTCCTCTTGGTCTCCAGCGAATAGGGGGGTCCCAAAGTGTGTGCGTGCTGAGAGCTGAGGGCCGTTGGCCAGGCTCCCTACCTGAACTGCCTCCCCTCTCCCCCACCCCCTTTCCCCTCGCAGATACACTTCTTCAGGCTGTGTGCTCTGTGCAGGTAGGTAGGAAATAACTAGAGGTTGGGGGTCAGGAGCCAGGGAGAGAAGAGGGGCAACAGGGAGTCATGTGGCCCAGAAGCACCCTCCTGAAGGAGATTGGATCAGAGGGGACCCTGAGTGAGTTTGGAAAAAGGTGGGGTATAGTTGGGGAGCCCAAGGTAGTTTGATGGGGGCAGCCTGTGGACAAGAGAGCAATGTCTCAGGACCTTGGGGGTTCTGGGCTCTGAAGAATGGTAAACTGAACTAGGGACTGGCCTTGCCCAGGGGGTTGGGGGACAGGGCTGTGAGGCCATGAGGCCGTGGTCCCAGGGTGAGAGTAGGAGGCTTCCCAGCTTGCCCTGACTGTTGCCTTCACCACTTCAGGTCCTGAGCCTTTGCCCCCCAAGGGTCTGCAGTATCTGGTGCTCCTGTCTCATGCCCACAGCCGAGAGTGCAGCCTGGTGCCGGGGCTTCGGGGGCCCGGGGGCCAAGATGGGGGGCTTGTGTGGGAGTGCTCTGCAGGCCACACCTTCTCCTGGGGCCCCTCTTCAGGCTCCATATCTCCAGAGGAGCCCAAGCCAGTGTCCTGTCCGAATACTGCCCGGAGAAGCTGGTGCCCGGAGGCCAGGAGCAGGTCGGAGCCTGCAGGTAGGCTGCAGGAAAGAAGAGTTGTGAAGAAAAGCGAGGGAAAATGGCTCCCTCTCTGTAGCTTAGAACTCCATTTTCTAAAAATTATCCTCAAATATATATATATATATTTTTTTCCCTCAAATGTATTTTTAGGCATAAGAAGCAAAATACAGAATAAGATGTATGTTGTGTTACCATTGGTGGAAAAATAAGGAGAGAAAGAATATATATATACACACACATATATATTTATTTATGAATGTATAAAATATCTCTGGAAGGGCATGTAGGAAACCAGGTTCTCTGTGGGAAGAACTAGGTGATTGGGGGACAGTATTGGAAAAGAGACTTTTCAAAGTGTACCTTTTTATACTTTTGTTTTTTGAACCATGTGAATGTATCATCTCTAAAGTAAAATACCCCTTCCCATCCCAGTAGGATCTGCACCCTCCTCCTTCTTCCCCAGAGTCCTCCCACCACTTCAGACCTTAGAAGTATACCTGTCCTCATTCCCCGAGCCCAGAGTTCCTTCCCCTTTGACCCTACCTGTGCCAACAGGTTTGGAATCTGAGCATGATGAGAGGACTCAGGAGGCCAGGTTGCCCAGGTGAGGTTGGGGGTGGGAGGGAAAGGATAGACTTGGGTGAACAGTGCAGGTGAGGGAGCAGAGCCTGAGGCTTCCCTTCCTTGGTCCAGCAGGGAAGTGGGACCCCTACTGGAGACCTTCCCAACCCCAGGAGAAGAGGGGGAGGAGGAAGATGAGGATGAAGAGGAGATGCTCAGTGATGCCAGCCCATGGACCTACAGCTCCTCCCCAGATGAGCAAGTTGGGGTTGTGGGAAGATGTTGAACAGAGCAGGAGGGAGCAGCTGGTCAGGGATCCTGAGCTTTCCAGACTCAAGGGAAAGGCGTATTGGTGGGGAAGGCAGAAAGAATTGGAGGCTTTCAATTGGGGAAAGGGGATGAAGTTAGGCTTAGGGGAGAATGAAAGCTGAAAGCAGGTGTGAACAGAGATCCTGGGGTATGGGTAGGGTTGTTCTGAGTTTGGGATTCTTCACAATTTAGGGGCTGGGGTTGGGTTGAAGGCTAGCTGAGAGCCCAGGGAGATAATGCCCTCCTCTTTCTTCTCTTTTCAGCAGTGATCCAGATGCCCCCAGAGTACTTCCTTCCCCTGTCACCCATGCACTTGAGGGGGAGACACCCCCGGCCCCAGCAGCTCCCCTCAGTCCTCTTGCTGTACCATCCTCATCAACATCATCATTGGGTTCTGGAGCTCTTCTGCCTACGGAGGTTGGGGTACAGCCGGAACTCAGAGGGACCCCTCAAGCAGCCCAGCAGACTGAGCCCCTGGCCAGGTAACCTGATGGCTGAGACAGAGGGCAGGGGCATCCCGGGACATGGCCCTCCCTCGAGGCCCTCTGCTCCCTTTTTGCTGCCCGTAGCCCTGGGAGTCAGGCCCAGTCTGCTCTGACCTTGGCCTGGGAGGAGGACATGGCACAGATCGGCCCCAAGAGAATTAGGTAGGCCTGGGGGAGGGGGGCCTTGGGGAGGGGAGTGAGAGGAGGGGGCTGAGGAGAGCCTGTGGGAGTTCTTATGTTCCTGCCTATCCTCCTCCCCCAGGAAAGCTGCCAAAAGAGAGCTGCTACCTTGTGACTTCCCTGGCTGTGGAAGGATCTTCTCCAACCGGCAGTATTTGAATGTGAGGACGTGAGGGGCATAGATTGGGTTCTGTGTGGCCTCAGAGGTATATGAGAAGGGCTTAAGGAGATGCTGAGGTGAAGGAGAAGCTGAAGCAAAGAAGCTTGGGGTGTGGGTGGATTTGGAGATAGGAAGAGAAGCGTTGGGGTGGACCTGCAGAGCTTACCTACAGTTAAGAATCACTAAGCCAGACAACTGGTAGATAAGGCAGAAAAGCAAGCCTCAGGTGCACAGCTGCTGTCCACCCCTGCTGGTTGCATGGGCCCTCCAAGGGTCATATGGGGATAACGATGGCATTCCTCAGGCTCTTGGAATGCTAGCAACTGTTCTAAGCACCTGATGTGGGTCAGGTCTTTTGATCTTCAAAACATCCCTCGGGAGTAGGTGCTGGTACTGTTCCTTCTGCAGATGAGGCAACTGAGGCACACAGAAGGCTAGTGGGTGGTAGTGCTGGGGTTCCAGAGTCCACCCTCCGCTGCCTGGCCCTGCTGGCAGGAGTGGGTAGTTCTAGAGCCAGAGGACCAGAAGATGCAGCCTCACTGCAGGAGAGGTTTGAGGCACAAAGAGGGAAGGGCCACGGCCCCCACACTTATCCAGAGCCCTCCCAGACCACGTCCTGAAGTTGAGGGAGAGCCCAGGCCAAAGGGATGGCGAAGCAAGGGTGTATGGGATTTGGGAGAGCAAACAGGTAGGAAAGCTCTGGGATGAGAACTTTAGTGGGGCTAGGCAAACACACAGGAGCCTGTTAATGAAGAAGACTGAAGCAGCCTCAAGCAGCAGTTTAACTATGGGAAAGTGGGATTATAGAAAAGGGGAAAGCCCGGGGCGCCTGGGTGGCTCAGTTGGTTGAGTGACTGCCTTCGGCTCAGGTCATGATCCTGGAGTCCCGGGATCGAGTCCCGCATCGGGCTCCCTGCTCGGCGGGGAGTCTGCTTCTCCCTCTGACCCTCCTCCCCCTCATGCTCTCTGTCTCTCATTCTCTCTGTCTCAAATAAATAAATAAAATCTTTAAAAAAAAAAAAAAAAAGAAAAGGGGAAAGCCCATGCAGCTTACGGAGCCAGGATGTAAAATTAGGTCAGACAGGAGAACTATTTCCCAGACATACTCAGGGAGTGAAAGAACAGACTACCCCTAAAAGTGTTCCAGGTTGAGAGCATGCATGTGTGTGTGTGTATGTGTGTGTGTGTGTTTCCGAAGCAGATTTAGGAAAACGTCATATAATATGTCCCCGTGATGAGCTACTAATAAAGTAGGCAATCTGGGCAATATTATTGTACATTGATATTGAAGAGGGTAATCATACCTACCCAGATTGTGTTCTCATTCCCAGCAGACAGCAGCTCCATGGTTAGGGAACCAGGATGGCACTTTGTTCAGGCAACTGGGCTTTGTGAGGAAGGTTGTGGTAAAAATGTGAGATAATGCAAATCAAGGACAGAATAGGATGAGGGCAGAGTTTGGTGTCGGGACAGGAGGGGGTGCTTGCCTTCGGATGAGGACTGGCCAGGAGGATGTGAGCTAGTGGTGAGAGAACTGTTGTGGGGAAAGCGGGGGCAGAGGAGCCTGCCTGCTGGCAGCTCTGGTGGTTTCCCTGACACCACCCGTTTCCTTTCCTAGCACCACAAGAAGTACCAGCACATCCACCAAAAGTCCTTTTCCTGCCCAGAGCCAGCCTGTGGGAAGTCCTTCAACTTTAAGAAACACCTGAAGGAGCATGTTAAACTGCACAGTGGTGAGTGGTAGAGACGCCTCCTCATTTCCCTCCTGTGCGTGCTGTCACCTCCCCCTGGGGGTCCCTTCACCTCGCCTGTGGGATGACTCTCACCCTCAGGTCTCTGTGTGGTGAGCACCTGCCTGCTTGAGACTGTTCTAGGTGCTGAGATACCCCAGGGAACAGAGGGCAATCCCTACTTCATACGACGTCCACTCTAGTGATAACAGGGATATAGACATGTGAAAGCCCAGAAGGGGAAGGAGAGCATGAGGGAGGAGTCTCTGTGGTAGAAAGGGAAGGTCTCTAAGCAAAGCCCTAAGTGAGGGGAGGAATGGAGCCTTGTCCACGTCTATGGGCAGCACTGGAAAGGCCCTGAGCTGGCTTCCGCGTGGCATGTTCCAGGAAGGGAGGGAGAGGAGGCCTGGAAGTTAGAAAGGGAGGAAAAGAGGTCAGACGGTGGTGGGGGCCTCCAAGACTACCATCAGCGTGGCTTGGCTTCTGGCCAGACGAGATGGGCAGCACCTCAGCGTCTTGTATAGCAGGAGGACACAACTGACTTTAAAAGGAGCAAAGTGACTGCCATATGGACAAATGGGACTGTAGGAGCGTGCAGCGTGCGGGGAGAGCAGCCTTGACATGCTGGTCCAGTCGAGTTGGTCGGGGGGAGTGGCTAGAGGCTGATGTGAGCATGAAGGAGGAGGCAGGAGGCTGCTGTGAGGACAGACTGGCCACAGGTGGATGGGCAGGAGGGCGTCGAGTCTAACTTGAAGGATTCCAGCCTGAGCACCTGGGCAGAGGTGATGAGATTTCCTGAAAAGGGGGGAGAGGCGGGCTTTAGGAAAGGGACATTTTATTTGGGACATGCTCATTTAGGCATCCCAGAAGATGTGACTCTGGAGTTCAGAGATGTTTGGGGGGAAAGAAATGTGTTCATCACAAGCACACGGGTGGTATTTGGAGTGAAGGTGGAAGCAGCTACATGGAGTGAGCGTAGGTAGAAAGGAGTTCTGAGCAGGGCAGGCGGGAAGGGCAGTGCCCAAGCGGCCAGTGAGGCAGATGAAGACGTGGAGAGAGTGCTCTAGGGGGAGGGGAGGGTGGGTTGTGACAGTGCAACGAGACTGAGCAACATGAGGACAGGCCGCTGGACGTGGTGGGAAGCCACCTTTGACTAGATGACAAGGGAGGACAGCCAGAATGGAGTGAGTTCAAGGCAGGGAGGAGCTGGGGCAGTAGAGTGAGTATGGGCCGCTCTCCGGAGTGTTGCTGTGAAGACAAGTAGGGAAAGGGGGTCTTAGCTGGAGGGCTGTGGGTTTGGGGGTACAGATGGGAATGATCCCACTGAGAGAAGAGGCTTCCTGATGCCTAGGTTGGGGGTGGGGGGAACCTCCGGTGGGGGGGAAGCAGTGTATCTCTGCACAGCTGGAGGGGACTGCAGTGGAGCAAGGAATAGTCTCACACACGGGCACGGAAGCAAGTTGGCTGAGGGCTTGGGTGGGGGGACTACGTGGTTATTCTCCCCTGGCTTCTCTCCTTGGTGACTTGAAAAATGAGGTCCCCGCTGATGAGCTAGCAGAGAGAGGAGGTGCTGTGGAAAATGGCCTTCTGGGCTCCTGAGAGTGGCAGAGTGAACTGACCGAGAAAATGCAGAGGCTTATGGTGGGCCCTTGGGACTTGTGGTTGTGGATGAAAGGAGAGGCCGAGGCGTAGGTGAACAATCCGTGGGTTGTGTTTCTGCTCCCCTTGCTACACCTCTGTATTCCTGGAGCAGGCCAAGAGTTGTGTTTACTTTGAGTTGGATTTTAACCGAACAGGTACAGCTAAGGGAGAGAGCGGCCAGTGAATTCGTGGTGTGAGTGCAGGGAGGCTACAAAGATGCCCTGGAAAGGGGTCTGGGAGAGGAGTGTGGAGGGGGCAGTGGGAAGGCAGTGGGCTGCTGGGCTGGCAGCGTGGAGTCCCAGGCTTATCGTAGCAGGACACAGGAGGAGGCCCCTGCTGAAACTGCAGTTTCAAGGAGGTGCAGTGGTGGGGCATGACCTGGGAGTGGTGGCTGAGAAGGGTGGGAGACCAGGTCAGTGAAGGTCAGGGAACAGAAATGTGGAGTGCTGGACGTGTAGGAAACAAAGCAGTGGCATGAGTAATGGCCAAGGAGAGGGCCTGGAGTCAGAGGTTTGGGGAATGTGGTGGTGTGGAGGTGGGCTCCCAAGGGGTGGTGAGAGAGATGTCTCAAGGACGCCACGAGCCGCAGGGATGCCCCGTGTATGGGCTGCCCTGAGACTTGGGGGTAGAGGAGAGAGCCCACAGCAGGCCTGTGGCAGCTGCGGGGGAAGCGCAGAGGGCAGGTGGTTAGTGCTGGTAGGGAGGCAGGTCAGGGAACATGGAGCAGATTGACAGCCAGAGGGCACGGCTCGGGGCTGGGAGGGGTGGGATAAGCAGGTTGAGTCGGGGACAGTACTCCTGTGAGGGTTGACAGGTGGGCTGGGCTGAGGAGGGGCCGCGGCCTGCGGATGGATGCTGGGGTGACCCCTGTGAACCCGCAGACACCCGGGACTACATCTGTGAGTTCTGTGCCCGGTCTTTCCGCACCAGCAGCAACCTCGTCATCCACCGGCGCATCCACACTGGAGAGAAACCCCTGCAGTGAGTGTGGGGGAGCATGGTGGGAAGGTAGGGCTGCCAGGGGGACCAGCAAGACACAGCTGAAGGAGGGGGAGCCCCTGGGGAGGCCGAGGTGGGCTGAAGCCCTGCCCTTCCCCCCGCTGTCCCTGGCTCAGGTGTGAGATCTGTGGGTTCACCTGCCGCCAGAAGGCCTCCCTGAACTGGCATCGGCGTAAGCACGCCGAGACAGCCGCGGCTCTGCGCTTCCCCTGTGAGCTTTGCGGCAAGCGTTTCGAGAAGCCAGACAGTGTTGCAGCTCACTGCAGCAAAAGCCACCCAGCCCTGCTCCCAGCCCCACAAGAGTCACCCGGCCCACTGGAGCCCTGTCCCAGCATCTCTGCCTCTGTGACCCCGAGGTCCGGTGAGGAGTCCAGGCCCTCTGTGCTCCCTCAGCAGTGAGCATTCCTGAGCTCTGAGGAGCCAGACCCTGGAGACTGAAGAGGAGGGAGGAAGAGAAGTGCCAGGTGCCTGGTCCCCAGAAACCAGGGTGACAGGGAGTGCAGGGTGGGAGCACAACACAAGCCAGGCTACTTTAGTCTTCCTCAAGGACAGAATAAACCCAGTATTTTACATGGACGTGTGTGGGCAGAGTGAGTATTTTGGCACCTGAAGCTCAGGAATCCTGATTCCTTCGGAAGCAGGCTCTGCTAGAATATGCCTGAGTGCACCATAGGTGTGGGCCGCGGTCCTCTCTCTGCAGGCCCCTACCTCAAGGACCCAGCTTTCTTTCCCAGTTTGCTTTGGCACTTGGCAGTCCTCCTCTGCGGACTGTCCTACCTATTCTTGCACTCGAGAAGGGCAGGCTGTGACATATGGGGAGCGCTGGGTCATTCCGGAGGGATTAGCTGGAACAGGAATGGCGGTATGTGAGCCTGAGCCACATTCGTCCTCTGCATTGACCAAGAGAACCAAATGTATAGGCTTGAAGAGTCTTGCCTCCCAGTGCAAAATCAAGGGGGCTGTACATGCAAGATCACTGAGCTACCTTGGGAGGGGACATCTTAGAGCTTCAAAAGGGCCTGACTCTTGGATCACTCCTCAAGTCTGCAAAGACAGCAGCCTCCGCTTTGACAAAGGAGGCTCTTGGCGTCTGGAACCCAAACAAACAAGCTTTATTTCACCAGTCATAAGCAAAAAAAATCGCTGGCCAATTTCAGATTTTCTGCCCTGCACTATTGACTGTGGAGCTCAATTTCCGCATGACTCCAAGCTTGATTTGGAAATAACATTCTGATGCTCCACTTGGCAATACTCTGCTTTATAGACCCCATGTGGTCTCAGTCTAGGTCCCGAAGTTAATGCCCCTCCCCCCCACCCGCCCCAACTGGAGAATATTGCCCTGAGAGGCACTTTGATCTGGACACCATCAGGTCTGTCCATGGGACAGGTGGGTGCTTTGCTGAGGGCTCCTGCCCAGCTTCACTCTGGGTGGGCCTTCCCTGCCAGGGAGCAGGCCGGTTGCTTCTGGCATGATGTCTTTCACTGAAATGAGCTGTCCCATGATCTCTCTGCCTACAAATTTCCCAATATCCCTGAGCCCAGGGAGAAAGCAGCAGAGACTCAAGTAGAACCAAGGGGCAAGAAGCCCACAGGCGGCTAGTTGTCCCTGTGGCCACATCTGTGATCATTACCTGAAGATGCAGGACAACAAAAGTAGGCGGGAAGGAGAGCTAGAGGAGACTCAGGCTGGAAAGGGGGATGGGACGAGAGCAGACAGAACACAGGTCGGAAAACAGGAAAACCTCTGAGGGCACAGCAGCAGCAACGGGAACACACCAACGCCTGGGCTCTCTTCCCTGTCTAGGAGGTCTCCCTGACTCCCTGCACCTACGCCCCAGGGGGAGGGCAGGGAGGACGGCGGACGGGAAGAGCTGCCCAGGGAAGTAGATGCAGGGACGCGGCAGCAGTCCAGGTGACGGGCTACCGTCGGAGATGTGGAAAGGCGACCGACAGCCACGCTGTGTACACAGCCCTCCGTCCGCGAGGTGCGCACCGTCCCCGTGGCAGCGTATCCGCACTTGCCTAGCCCACTACAGACAAGCTGCTCGGCAAGTGTCCCTCAACTGGGACACAGAGAGTCCGGCTTCTCCTGTCCTGCCTGCCCGGCAAAGATGAGCGCAGCCCCCGCCGTGGCCTGGGCAGCCTGGGCGGCGGCCCGAGCGCGCGCGTGGGCCCGCTGGTGCTGCGACAGCGAGCGGCTGTGGCTGAAGCACTTGCCGCACTCGGCGCACTGCGCCGGCCGCTCGCCCAGGTGGGTCTTGCGGTGCAGCGCCAGCTTGGAGCCCACGCCGAAGGCCTTGCCGCACTCGGGGCACTTGTGCGGCTTGAGCCCCGCGTGGTTGCGCCGGTGCACGTTGAGGTTGGACACGCACGTGAAGCGTCGGCCGCACAGCTCACAGCCGTAGGGCTTCTCGCCCGTGTGCGTGCGCAGGTGCTTGGTGAGGTCGGAGCGGTCGCTGAAGCGGCGGCCGCACTCGGCGCACGGGAAGGGCCTCTCGCCCGTGTGAATGCGCTGGTGCACCACGAGGTCGGAGCGCTGCCCGAAGGCCTTGCCACACGTGGCGCACGCGTGCGGCCGCTCCCCCTGGTGGCTGCGCCTGTGGCGCAGCAGGGTGGAACTTTCGCTGAAGCGGCGCCCACAGTCGCCGCACGCATAAGGCTTCTCACCCGTGTGCGTGCGCTGATGGCGCACCAGCGTGGCGCTCTCCAGGAAGCCCTTTCCGCACTGCGGGCACTTGAAAGGCTTCTCGCCCGAGTGCGTCTGCAGGTGTCGTGTGAGCGTGGAGCTCTTGCCAAAGCTCTTCCCGCACACGCCGCACCGGTGCGTACCCGGAGCGCGGGGCTGAGCAGCCGTGGCGCCACCGGGGCTCCGGGCCGCGTGGACGCGTGCGTGGCTCCGCAGGCCTGCGTGGCT